ATGTCATTTTTCTGTGTGTATAATGGGCATAAGTAAAATGTAGAAACCATTAATCTTACACTCAAATGCCTTTACAATATTAAATTATAATGGACCATTACATATACATTTATATATCTGCACGTTTTATTTTGGAAGCAAAAAGTATTTCAGGAATATGACAATCGTTTCAGATAAAAACAAAAAGGCCCATACTCTTTGAAATACACCTAGTTCAAAACAGTGATAGGTAGAGGTTGACTATATCATCCTTGGCTGCAGAATCCCAGGGTATGAATCAGGATTAATTCCAATGAGTGCTAGGTCAAATAATACTTGGAAGTAGATTATGGTCATTGTTGTAACCTCTCACTAGAAGAGTTTGTGTTTTCTGAAGGAAACAAAACAAGCATCCAGGAAAAAGAAGCCAGTATGCATGACAATAACCATCATTTGGCAATATTTTATTATGTTTGGCATATTGGAATTTAGAATGAAAACATTTTAGAGCATGTCAAATAATTAGGGTATTTAAAACAGAAAAGTAACAGAAAACTTTCAGATAATATTTTCTTAAGCCTTTTTCTATATGTTTAATTAATTCTAAAAAGTTTAGATAACAATTATATTTCACAGAATTTTTATAGTGGTATCTACTTAATGTAAATACGTTTAGAAAGAAATTAAAATATTTCTTAAAATTGTATTTCAGAAGTGTATAAAATAATCAATACTAATTATAATAATTCAGGGATAAGGTTCTTTCACATTAAAATTGTAGTTTTGTTGAAAGTGTTAGAGATTGTAGTTCTGAGATGAATTAAATAGCATAATCAAACATAAATAGCATATTTTTAGAAAGTGTTTTAAGTATGTACTAAATACTTATATGTAGTAATTGGAGATTTTGCAAAAAAACCACATTCTCATAATTTTTCTACTTAAACATGTTTTGTGTAATTCTCTAATTAACGTTTATCAATTCCTAAACCATTGGTAAGTATAGCAGGTCCTTGATATCATTTTGCTACACCATTCATAGGAACTTAACTCTTGTTTATGTAAGTTAACTTATGATAAAATTTGTTTTTATCCATCATTTTTTTCTTGAAGTTACAGAACCTATCCTATCAAAAGAGTAATCATTCTGCTACACCCAACAAACCACACCCATCAGACAAGCCAGTCAGAGAGAGTATGCAAATTAACCCCAACCAAGATGGCTGCTGCCACAGAGAGCAGGTGGGAGGCTTGGGTTTCCCTGGCAATGGAGGAAGCCAAGCTTTTCACACACCCTGGCAGGCCCAGGCCTCCACTTAAGGGTACAAACTTTCAATTATAGAAGGTAAATAAATTCCAACAGAAATGGCAGCAGACACGGAGCTGGAAGAGCAGGAGGCTAGGGTTGCCCTCGGCATGGAGTAAGCCAAGCTTCTGCAGCCCTGGCTGGCCTAGACCTCCAACCCAGGCTACATAGTTTTAATTAGAGAAGATAAATAAATTCCAACAGAAATGGCTGCCACCACAGAGCTAGCAGGAGGCTTGGCTCCACTCCAGACTACAAAGTTTCAATTGTAGAAGATAAAGAAATTCCAGATACCAGGGCCTCCAGTTGGGTGGCTGGGGGGCATGGTTGGCTTGCAAACCACCACAGGCCCCTCTCTCAGGCCGCCCCGCACCCCAAGGGAACCCCGACCCTGATCCGGGATACTCTTGAGGGCTAACCAGCTGGCCCCCACCCATGCACCAGGTCTCTAATAAAAGAGTAATATGCAGATTGACCATCACTCCAACACACAAGATGGCTGCATCCATGTAGTCAAAATCCTGCCCACATGTGGACACAAGATGGCCAGCAGGGGAGGGCAGTTGGGAGGCACCAGGCCTGCAAGGGAGGGCAGTTGGGGGTGATCAATCCTGTAGGGGAGGGCAGTTAGAGGATACAAGGCCGGCAGAGGAGGGTAGTTGAGGGCAAACAGGGGAGCAGTTAGACATCAATCAGGTTGGCATGGGAGTGATTAGGAGGTGATCAGGCTGGCAGGCAGAAGTGGTTAGGGGCAGTCAGGAAGGTAGGCAGGTGAGCAGTTGGAAGCCAGCAGTTCTGGATTGTGAGAGGATCCCAGATTGGAGAGGGTGCAGGCTGGGCTGAGGGACTCAACCCCCTCCCCCCGGCCCCATGCATGAATTTTGTGCACTGAACCTCTAGTCAATAATAAATGAGGACTTATACATTTATAGCAACTTCACAGAGGAAAAGTTTAAAGCATATGTTAGGAGCTAAAATTATAACTTTTAATGTAGTAGTCATACATCTAGGAATTTTCCTAAGTAATTAGCTAAAGTTCATAAGGATTTATGTTCAAAGATGTTCCTTACAGTGTTGTTTATATAGTGAAATAACTGAAAACAGTGTAAAATCTTATATTAGGAGCATCTAAGTTTAATTAAATATGGTATGTCCGAATGATAACATGTACAATATAAAATTGTTTATATTTTTAAAGAATACTGAAAAATATAGGAACATACTCTGTTTATTTTAAATATATTCTGAATGTTACAAACTATGTAAAATATTTCTATCTCTGCATTTATACAATGAGCCTGTATGACTCTTTAATCAGAAAAGGTTATTTATGAAATAATCATATAAAATATTGAACATTCTAATTCAATTTTAGAAAAACATAATAGTTTCTTCTTTAAAAGAAGCTCTGAAATAAAAAGTTGAATCCAGCATTGTAATGCAAAAAATAATAATAATAATAATAGCATTAAGCTACGTGAAGTAGGTTGGTTAATTTTGTACTGAATATGGGCATTTACCATATGTCTTTAAATTCACGTTATCCAATATATACAAAGACAGAGACAATACAACTTTTAAGAAAATTAAAAAACTTAGTGTAAAAGTTGTGGTTCTGGAATATATAGTGATGGTTTCATAAAACACTAAAATATTTGCAAGGAATCCACTTACCATCATGCAAAGGTAGTAATGGTTAGGTGTTCAGTGACATTCTTTCATGTTTAGTAAACATGTGAAATTCCTTCATGTTTAGTAAAGACCTGTCTTTTACAAAGCTATCATCTATGCTATATTTGTCCTTAGAATTTTGGAACATGAATTGTAATTGATGATTATTTTATGTCTCAAATTCAAATCCTAATGATTTCTTTTCCCCTCTCTTTATGTTCAGCCTTTTCTGTTTACATAACTACTTTAAGAATGTTAACAAACAAATTCTTTTTCCTGGGCAATGTCTATTGTCCATATTATGTTATTTAGGGGATCATGATCCAATGTTTAAACTAGAATGTTTTCCAATATACTGTCTCTTACTGTATTTTAAAAGTAGTTTGATAAGTGTACAATATGGGTTTGTCAATAGACTTGGGTTCTACTAAGAAAATATGTACTTTGTCTTGACTCAATAAACTCATACTTAGTATGGTTTAGCCTCTTCATATTTACTTTTGCCCATATTAGAAAACAATTAGCTTACTAAACAAATTTGAGAATTTGGTGCTGGGGGTGCGGGGGAGGAAGGTGATCCTCTCGATGAGTCTCTTGAATTTGACTAAGAATTATACAATATTTGATAACCATGTTTAAAAATGGAGATATCCAAATATTATTGTAAACACCAGTGATTTGTTTTACCTACAATATAAGTATTTTACTTGGTTGGCTTACATAGTAGCTAATAATATTTGTTAATGTGATTTAACTGCTGTGAACCTTTACTGAACAAATATTGAAATTTATTCAAGTCAAAGAAAGAGAATCTCTAATGACTTTTGTTAAGGCTTCTATTTAATAGTTAAGGACAAAAGTTTGTATGACATACGAGATGCAATTAACAGTAGATTTTACATTTAATAAAATGAAAGAAGCATGCGTATTTGCTTTATTCATTCCATCATAATTTGCAGTAGAGCTGTGGGTGTTTAATGAGCAAATTCCAACTAAAATGCTATATTGATTTTCTAGTGAACTTTGTAATAGTCATCCACCTTGGAAAAGCTCAGTGTTTACAATTAAGTTTTCTTTACTAAAAATGTTTGAGAGTTGCATATTGATCCTTTGAAAGTTCTGAATCTAGAAAGAATCATGTTTTTCATAATAAAATTTTACATAAAAGCTTAATGTTAAAAATATCATTCAATAATACTTTAATTTAGGAAAAATTTTCTAGCATTTATAAAACACCTATGAGAGGAATAGCTGAATCTTATGGTCATAGCTGTATGTTTAATTTTTTAAAAAGAAATTGACAAACTGCTTAGTCTATTCCCCATCTGTAAAAATACTCTCTTACAAACCCTTACTTTCCTTGAAAGCCTTTACTACCATCTGTCATGTCTATCTATTTATCCATCTATCTACCCTCTGACTTTGGTGTTTATTGTTTCCATGCTTGTTTTAATATTTTTACTAATTGTGTCTATCCATAAATAATAGGTGAAGTTGTCTTACTTTACAACTTGTTTTTGCCAAAATTTCATTTTTGAGATTTGCCCATAGTTAATTCATTTTAAATGCTGGATAGCATTCCATTTTGAATGTAAAGTGAGTTATTTATTCCCTTTCCTGTTGTTGGACATTTGAGTTATTTCTTATTTTGCTGTTATATAATGCTATAGTAAGCATTTTTATACATGGTTCCTTGTGCATATGTGCAAGAATTTCTATAGGATACATACCAAAGAAGAGATTTGACAGATTATAAGCTACAGACATCTTCAACTATAATAAATATTATCAAATTCTTCTTGACAATTTCAAAAATATATGTGAGAATTTTCTTTATTTCACAAGATTACAATATTTGTTATTATTTGACCTTTTAATTTTGGGGTATGAAATTGTAATTCAGTTTTACAGTAGCTTTTAAAAATAATTTTTGTCAAGTGATTAATTGATACCAATTTAGATGAATAAAAGAAAATTATTTTTGTTCAAAGTATGCATTTCTCCTTTATTTTCTCTGATAATTTTGGATGATATATTTTGGTAGCTCTGGTTGAAGAGGTGTATTTTGCACAAAGGAAACGTGATGAAGCTATTATGTCTCGACTACAAATAGCCAACGAGGAGAGAGATGAAGCAATCGCACGAGCCAACCATATGGAAATGTCTCTAAAACTGTATGTACACATTTAAATCTATATGACATTAGAAGCATTTATAAAGTGTATGCATTATGTGGTGATTACATATTCAGAAATGTTACTGATTCTTTTGTGTTACAGCTGTAAATTCTATATCCTCATAGTTTTTCTTAGACTTCTGGCAAGCTGTAGGAGTTTGCATGTCAGGAATAGCAGCGAGTGCTCGCACGCGCGCGCGCGCGCGCGCGCGCGCGCGCGCACACACACACACACACACGCGCGCGTGCGTGCACGCGCAAAAAGAAATGCACAACACTGAGTACACTTACTTTCTTGACTTCTTCATAGTTCTGTTGTCGATGTCCTTACTCTTGCTTCTTTTGTAACTTCTATTTTCTTCCCGCTTTTTTATTATCTCTTTTTTTATTTCTTTCAGCTATCTGGGTTCTTTCACGACTCTTACTTAATATGCTCGTTCCTATACTTAACTGCATTTTATTTCTGTTAGCTGAGTGACACCTAAACTAGAATGGAGCCTGGGAATCTACATTTTTAACAAGCAACCCAGGTGATTCGAATATAGGTAAACAATAGATGACAATTAGAGAAAATAATTGCCCTAGAAATAGTACTTCACCAATGTCAATGTGCATTCTACTCACTTAAAATTCAGGCTCTGGAAGAGCCTGATAGTCGCCCTTTTTTCAAGCTCCCAGCTGATGCAATGACACTATTCTAAAGAGTCACTTTTGGTAGAAAGACCCTACAGCATCTAGAAAGAAATGTGTAGATGAAATGCAATATTATAATGTTTTATGATCCATTAATATACTTATTGTGTGTTTGCTCTGCTCAACATTGTGCTAGGCTCTGTGGCTCATTATGGAGAACAAGTCATTAAATAATTAACAGGACAGTATTCAAGTTGTGATTAGGTAATGTGAGTTTTTTGTTGTTGTTTAGATTAATGACTTTTTTTTTTTGTGGAAGACTAATAAAGAGAATACAAATAAAGGAACAAAAATTTTTACCCAAATTCTACACTGCCTTCTCCCAAATAACTATCTTAATAAGGAAACATTATTCCAAACATTTCTCCTTGCTTGTATTCTTAAACACTATTTTCTGGAAGAATGGCTAGTTGTGAGTCAGTTGGTTTTTTTCTGAGCACGATACAAGGGTGGTTTCTTTCCCAGGTTCTTGTCCAGGTGGATTAAAAGAATCAAGCCATGGACAAAAGGTGGTAGATGAAAAGGGTAGACATTTATTGGAAACAAGTACAGACTCCCACGTAGGGAGGGGCTCCCAGAGGTCCCCCAACCAGCTGTGCCTTCCTCCCCCATGGGCTCTCTAATTCCTAAAATTCCTTACACCTGCCAATTTTACCCCCTAAAGCTCCTTTCAGTTGGTGGTAGAATGGATGCATACATAGGATATGAATGGTAAAAATAAAATCATTCTCTACATGCTGTTTTATTTGAGAGATATTATAGTATAGAATTTAGGAGCACAGATTCCAGAATTAGACACCTGTCTTTAAATCTTGGCTCTGTTGCTTCCTAGTTGTACAGCCACGGAAAGATTAGTCTCTGGGATTTAGTCTTTTTGTCTCAATATGGATAAGTAGTGCCTGTTTTATAGAAGTTATGAGGACTGAATGATTTAATATTAAAAAGTATCTGGCTTGTAGCAAGGGCTTTATGAGAATTTAGAAGTATTAATTAATTAAAGCAAAACTGTAGAAATTTTTGAACTTCCTGAAATGTTTTCTTACAATAAGATATAATTCCCTAAAGAGCCATTTAAGTTTAAGAAAAGAGATTGAAAAACATTCAGGTTCTGCAATTGTTTAATTTTTCAATTTTTGTAAACATGCAGAGTACAGGAGTGAGGTGCAATTCTCATCAGATTATTTCATGATTATATATTATCAACATTACTTACAACTATAGTGATGCTAATGTTGATCAAAATAATGCTTGCCATGTTTCTCCACTATTAAGTTACTCACATTTCTTTTTTATACTTAGCTCTTTGAAAGCAAATCCTTTAAGTGTAGTCCATATTCAAGGAAGATGGAGAAAGGAGGTTAATAAAATTCTACTTTCCCCAGGACCATGGTTGGCAAACTGCGGCTCATGAGCCACATGCGGCTCTTTGGCCCCTTGAGTGTGGCTCTTCCACAAAATACCACAGCCTGGGCGAGTCTATTTGGAAGAGTGGTATTAGAAGAAGTTTAAGTTTAAAAAATTTGGCTCTCAAAAGAAATTTCATTCGTTATACTGTTGATATTTGGCTCTGTTGACTAATGAGTTTGCTGACCACTGTACCAGGAAAATGTCTATATAAATTATTTGTAATTCTCTTCTCCTTCATTAACTTATTTATGTCAGTATGGTCTTATTAATATTCCTTTATAATCTAACTAGAGGCCAGGTGCATGAATTCGTGTACCAATGAGATCCCGCGGCCTGGCCTGCAGGATCAGGCCGAAATCAGCTCTCTGATATCCCCCAAGGGTCCTGGATTGAGAGAGGATGCGGACCAGGCTGAGAGACCCCACCAGTGCATAATTGAGGCCAGGGAGGGATGTGGGAGGTTGGCCAGCTGGGGAGGGATCATGGGAGGGCTCCAGGGTGTGTCTGGCCTGTCTTGCTTAGGCCCGATCTGCTGGACTCAAACAGCAAGCTAATCTACCAGTAGGAGCGTCTGCTCCCTGGTGGTCAGTGCACGTCATAGAAAGTGGTTGAGTGGCCTTAGTATGTCATTAGCATATTACGCTTGATTAGTTGAATGGCCGACTAGCTAACCAGACACTTAGATTAATAGGCTTTTATTATATAGGATACCATGTTATTTTTTTTATTGATTTTCAGAGAGAAAGGGAAAGAGAGAGGGAGGAGGGACACACACACACACACACACACACACACACACACACACACATGCAGGCACACACCAATACCAATCTGGAGAGAAATACCGTGTTTCCCTGAAAATAAAAAATCCTCTGAAAATAAGACCTACTTACAGGTTTCCTTCTGAGTGAAATATAAGGCATCCCCCCGAAAATAAGCCCCCCCCCCAGGCTCTGTCTCAGAATGAAAATTAATTTACCGTAAACTGGTCACTAGGGCCGCCCCAACTGGTGTCTAGCAACCAGTGATGTTAAGCGGAGTCCTGACCTCTGCTGTGTGGAGGTGGAGCAGAGGTCTGAGTGAGCGGTGAGCGTGTGAGAGAGGAGACTTTCGCTGATGCGTGTAGAAAAACAGGAAGATTAGAGCAGACAGGACACGGCGAAGGTGGTGAGTGCTGGTCTGTCTCTGGTGACACTACCTGATGCTCGCAGCCGCCCTCATGATGACTGAAGGTTCTCAGTCAGTGGCAGACCCTGCTCCAGCCCAGATCCAGGCCCCAGCAAGCCCAGTAACAGTCCCCAGGCAGGCCCCAGGGGGTAAATGTCTGATAAAGGGGTATGGGGAATGTCTGGTGAAGGTGTTCAGTGGCACAGGGGTGGGGGGGAGGAGGATCACTTAAAATGACACAGAAGGATCAGAGGGGCCAATCAAAATGACACTGGAGGATCAAAAGGGGTTACTAAAATGGTAATTCCCCCCTGATTCTCCTGTGCCATTTTGATTCTTCCCTCTGATCCCCCCTGTGTCATTTTAAGTGATCCCCCCCACTTCATACCCCAATTCCTTTTTTTTACCCCTAGAAATGAGTGCAAAAAGAAAAAGCTACTCCATGGAGTACAACAAAGGAATCTTGGAAGACTCTTGGGGCCAAAATCTTACTGCTTTCTGCAAAGAGAAGATGTTGAGTATCTGATTGGTCCGAAAATGGCGAGCAGAGTATGGTAACCTCATTGAACAAGTGGACAAGGGAAATGCTAAAAAGCACAAGTGTGGATCAGGTTGGCAACCATTATTTTCCCAGCTGGAAGACCTGATCTGTGAATGGGTTGTTGACAGGAAAGCAAAGGCTTTGGTTGTTAATAGGGCTCAGATTCAAGAATTTGCCCTTGCAATGGCACCACAGTTTGACATAGCCCCCGAAGACTTCAAAGCATCACAACACTGGCTGGATAATTTCCTTCAGCAAAGTGAACTGTCTTTAAGAAGATCTACAACATTGTTTAGGTTGGAAGATACTCAAGTTATTAAGCGAGCACTTGCATTCAAGTCCTTTATTGATGATGCTGAATACTCTAAATACAATCTTTCCAACATGATTGCAATGGATGAAACTGCAGTGTTTATGTGCCAATCATCTCAAACAACAATTGAACAGTGGAGTGCTTTCTTAGTGTACATTCCCTCCACTGCTTACGAAAGTGCACGTGTTTCCTATATTTTGGCAATCTGGATGGCACTAAAATCCCACCTTTAATCATTTCTAGGGGCAAGAAGGAAAAGATTGAATGTGTTTTGGGCGTTTTTATACTTGAAACTGAAAAAGCCTGGGCCACACAAGCAGTTATAAGGAAGTGGGTCAATTTAATGCTGCCGCTTGTTATGTGAGGGAGCCAAAGAGGTCTGCTAGTCTGGGATGCAGCCAGCACTCACCACGCTAAAGACATGAGGACATTTCATCACGAAAGAAAAATAGATCAGATAATGATTCCTGCAGGAATGATAGCCTATCTCCACACTCTTTTTTTTTTTTTTTTAAATATATTTTATTGATTTTGTGCAGAGAGGAAGGGAGAGAGATAGAGAGTTAGAAACATCGATGAGAGAGAGTCATCAATCAGCTGCCTCTTGCACACCCCCTACTGGGGATATGCCCGCAACCAAGGTACATGCCCTTGACCGGAATCGAACCCGGGTCCCTTCAGTCCCCAAGCCAACGCTCTATCCATTGAGCCAAACCGGTTTCGGCCTCCACACTCTTGATATTGCAATAAACAAGCCATTCAAAGACAATTTGCGCGTGGAAATTAATGACTACATTGAAAATAGAATGGAGAGAAATCAGCGTGGAAACTTTGTGAAACCTAAACTGCAAGAAGTTGTGACTTGGGTGAAGAATTC